TGTCTTTGGTAAATATTTCTCTATGACAAAGTCCAATATTAGCAAAATTATTTCTTGTTCTGCAATACCAGGTTCCGCATTTCTCTTACACTTTTCTGATATAATTGCAAGTTTTCAATGCAATCGCTTGAGCCATTTTCTTTGTAGTGTCGCCGCTGTGTGTGCGGCGGTGGGCANTCTACAGAAATAAGCCAGCAACTATTCCAGCTTTGGAAGACAACATTTCCGAAGAAATTCGGGCTATTCCGGCCGAAATGCTCGAAAAAGTTGCCCAAAATTGGACTTTCCGAATGGACCACCTAAGACGCAGCCGCGGTCAACATTTAAATGAAATTATCTTCAAAAAGTAAATGTCATGGACCAATCTAACGTTTCAAATAAAGAACCGATGAGATTTTGCAAATTTTATGCGTTTTTTTTAAAAAAAAAGGTATCAAGCTCTTAAAAAATCACCCGTTAGTTTAAGCAAAGATAATTTGAATGAGCTGCATTTGCAGCGAATTGCAATCGCTGGGCGCTGAAATGTATGCGCGCCCTTGCGCTGGGGATATGAGCCGGGGCAATGACGGTTGCTGCGATTTTTCGTCGCCATCGATGACATCACTAACGTTGTGCTTTGGTACCTGTAAAGAGAGCAAAAAACACTTGTTATGAGAAAGCAAACGAGACAGTAAATATGTGAATATCTGGTTGTATAAATCGATGGTTCTCTGCAATAACTACACAACTCAAAATTAAAAAAAAAAATTCTTAATACAGTTCAGTAGCTCATGTTTCACATACTTGTCTAATCCATGACTAAGCCGTACTACTTACTGAAGTAATGCTTACTACTTACAGTAGTAGAAGATTTTATTTTTTGAGTTTTGTATTGTGTCGTTAATGCAGAGGACCATAGAAATGAACAGTATTAGAGAAACTGTAGTTAAATACTCATATGGGGAGGCCCCGTCTTCCGCTAAGCGCTTTAACCCATTTGCGCTCTATGTACTATATAAACGTTTACTATTATTATTAAAACGAAATTGCTTTAATAAGTTTTCACCTACTGGTATTAATTTCACTTCAGATAGAATAGAAGATAAATAGGTATAACTGGGGATACCGGATTTGGACACTTACAAATCGACTTTTCACATTAGATTTGATCCACATGAACAGCTGTGATTATTTTTTTTTTTTGAATTATTGCACTTTGCCCTAAAATATCTGCTATTATGAGTAGAAAAAGAGTAAATTAATAAAATTATTAACAGTGAGTATAAGGCTTTGTTATTTGATGGATTTATACAGCTATTTCTTTAGCTGTCGTTTTTTTAGTACAACGGGACATCTATACTAATATATAAAATTTTTTTGAAAGCCGGTTTTTTCTGTTCGAAAGCTTGAGAACAGCCGTAACGATTTTTCGAAGTTTTGGACACCTATTTCCGACATTCCGAGCATGGTTATAGACTTAAAATAATATGTATATTTGAAAAGAGAAGTTTTCTCGTAGGTGAGAATAGTCTTGCAATTACGTATAACGATAAAATGTTAAAAATCTGGCCTATGTGTGACATGATGATTCAGAGTTTTTGTCAAAAACGTCAGGTAGTTTCTGAAGCAATTTTCTAGAACCGCACATATATTTATTTCTTAACATTTCGATTATATTTTGCTGCTAAAACTGGGTGATAGCAAGTTATGAAGGTTATTACTAAGTCTTTGACATATCTTGTGGAAAAATCATTGGAAGCTCTTGGGATCATCTTGGATATATGTGAGGTGTTTATATTCGTAGTAAGAAATGGTGGTGGGTTATGAATCTCCACGCACATGCTTGATATGAGTATATATAACCGGTGGAGTCGACATGTTTTGTCGAGCGAAGATTATTTTCGACCAATTAGCTATTAGAAGACACATTGTTCGAATAAAGCTACCCATCCGGTTCTATTGTAGCAGATCCAAACTCAAGGCATAACGGACATAACCCAGGCTAGTTGCCTAAGCTGTGTTTTGTGTCATAAGGTTATAATATGGCAATGTACAGGATGCAAAAGAACGTTATGCCCTGCCAAGTAATATTTTAAAAATTAACACATATAAATGCCCGCTGTACTAAAAAAAGTACACTCCCAAAAGTTAACTTTTGAGCTTTTTTCGTTAATTTTAGTTCCTTAGTTTTTTTAAAATGGCTTTTATGATCACATATATAAAATTCCAACCGTTTTTGTTTGGGCGTAAATGGGTTAAGATACGTATGTTGCAAGTTAAAACCACCCTTGTAAAAATCTTTGTTGCGAATTACATAAGCATTTGAGATAAACCTCTTATCATCCACAGTTTTGCTTTATCCAATATTTCCATATTGCTCAGAACCTCTCGAATAATCATGAAAAAACTTCCTTTGCAGATTTTGATGAAAAATCGGTATATTACAGTATATCCACATCATACTTGGTAACGTAAGGCATTTATTATCTAAAATAGTCACACAGCAAGCCAAGTTTTGAACTTTGCGCTCGAATGCATTGAAAATGGAAACGGGGTGCTGTAAAATTAACTCCATGTGGGCGATGAAGTGCAATGAAGAAGCAACGAGGCAAAAAATGCAACCTGGCAGTGACTGTGGGACTGTTGCACTCCAAAGAACAACCACATGAGGCAAAAAGTTGCTGCGGTGTATAAAGCTACAAAACAAACAGATACCAGAAGTATACTATTGGGAGCTCCCAAAGATTGAAAAGCCAAGAAACTCCTCTGCCCATGGTACAACCTGGTAAAGGTCACCAGCAAGGTTTGCTTCGGAATCAGGAAAGCCGAAATGAGTGTCTTTTTAGGGGAAGTTAGTAGAGTATGACCCGGGGGTATCGACGGAGAAGGTGAGCGAAATAGTAGTGAAAGCGGTTAGTTGTTACGGTTTACAACTAGGAAAAAGGTACTCAAATTAAGACTTTTAGTCTGAAATAAAATCTTTCTGTCAGCGGTTCGGGGTTGTGCAAAATGAATACCTTTGGGCATAGCTCAATCTTAAGCAAAATTCCGACAGCAAATAGATCAGCGGACTACATGGTATAGAACACAGATTTCCAATTGTATCCAAGGGTGAGGTTCCCAATCTAGCGTTACTAGGAAAGATAGTGATGTTATTTACGCAGATAGTCAGCAGTATTCTTGGTTTTATCGTCGTAAGAGAGAGCTTTGCTCGGCAAGTCTTTCAAAGACACTTCCAAAAAAAAACAGACCTCTTTAAAACTTATACCCGATACGTATATCGAATTCCTAAACTAAACTTCTTAGTGCAAATTTCGGATATGCAGGTGGTGCACGAAATGGCATATTTTGTCTGTTATCATACAATTAATCCAGCAATTGCATCATCATACAATTAATCCAGCAATTGCAGTCAAAATCTTTTATAGGGCTACCAATTGCACGTTGCGTTACCCAATATAAATCATAACTTCTAGAAAATATTGCACTTTTCAACATATTCATAGATACTCTATGGTTTTTGCAAAGGAGACAGGACAATAGCAGCAGTCTGCTTCCTAATACTAAAGATAAAGTAGCTTGCCGCTTGCACACCTGGCTTTGAATTCAATTTAGAGCACCGCCACCCGCATTGTGAATAGGAAAATGGCAATAAAATCGAATCTACGCACATTTCGTTTAAATTAAATTCTTTTTTACATCTAGAGGGACAAGGCAATCAGTGAAACCGATTTTCGGTAAGGAGAAAGGGTGTTCTATGCCATTGTTCCAATGTTTCGTAGTTTCCGACGCAGAGGTTTGCAAAAAGTAGATAGGTATGTGCATCAAAAAATGTTCGATTGCATTTGTAATTTAGTTTGCCCGTTTGTTTGTTTGTCGACGAGTGAAATGAAAATCCCTTCAGCACTAGAAGCATTAAACTAGTTTTATCATTTTAATATAGAATTGTGAATCAGTTTCTTTGCCTCATGGCGGAATATGAACCAACTGGTTTCCAGCTAACCGCCGATCTGGGTGTGAATTTATTTCCGAACGCTTTTCGGTGTACTTCAATGTGGACTTAGTGTATACTTTCGTACATATGTGTAAGTAAATATAAATGGAACTGCAATATTCACTTGTCACACACACGTTCTCATATCCTTACCGATAGGTGTATCTCAATCCAGACCTGCCGCATCTACTGATGCACTCTTTGCTAATTTAGAACAATGGCGAAAGCGTTGAATGGATGGGACCGATGAACGACATAAAACTATAGTGTCAGGCGCTCGGGGGGGTTTAACTACCAAGAACTACAACGTCAGCAAAATAAGAAGAATAACACAAACTGAAAATCGGCCCAACTGCCTCCCTATTGGTTCACTTTTCCGCACCAGCGTTCACAATTCACAAAATCCCAATTGATTTTCACGCTAATATAATGGGCAAAGAAAGCATAACTCGGTGCCATCTGGTATGAATATGTATGTATGCACAAATAACCACAATAGACACAAATAAAAAAAAATTATGCCGCCAAAGCTATTCCAGTGTATTATGACCCAATTCATCTCAACTCAAAACTCCTACCATGCCTCCATGCGAGCCACAGGTTACCACCAGCGACAAAGACACAAAGTTCGCTTCTGGATATTATAACGGGTGATTTTTTAAGAGCTTGATAACTTTTTTTTTAAAAAAAACGCATAAAATTTGCAAAATCTCATCGGTTCTTTATTTGAAACGTTAGATTGGTCCATGACATTTACTTTTTGAAGATAATTTCATTTAAATGTTGACCGCGGCTGCGTCTTAGGTGGTCCATTCGGAAAGTCCAATTTTGGGCAACTTTTTCGAGCATTTCGGCCGGAATAGCCCGAATTTCTTCGGAAANCATCTTTCTCTTTGACACCATGTCTGAAATCCCACGTGATCTGTCAAATACTAATGCATGAAAATCCTAACCTCAAAAAAATCACCCCTTACAAACAAAAATATAAACATACAAACCTTGTAGTCGTATAGTATAGTTGTATAGTCGTATAGTCGTAGTCGTATAGGCGCCAAATTCGGCCTTAGACAGATGAAGGTTTGTCAGGTTGAGATGCCACGTGTACAAGTTAATCATGGCATCCGATAGCTTCTACTTGTTGCTACTGTGCAGGTTTAAGTTACCTATCCGCAGACATCCACATCACTTCACGTTGTGGGTAAAGATAAAAGTCACAAAAATAGAGAAAAAATGGAGGAAGGCATCGAGTTAGATGAGAAATGACAGGCAATTACGCCAATTACGACGTCGACTTTTGTACTACTGTTACCGCTGTTCTTTTGTATTACAAACAAATCGAATAGTAATTTAAGTGCAGATGCATTACCTTCATTGTGATACCAGCCAGCGAACAGCTCCGGATAAACTTTCACAATGCATTCGATATTGATTTCACGTTCAACGGGTGCGCCTAGCAATTGATTGGCAGCCTTAAGTGACGGTGGAACTGTGAAGAAAAACCAAAAATCAGAGAAGCGTTACTAGAAGCAACATTTAAAGCAAGCAATATTTAAAGAACTTCAGACAATATTTCATATTCGTCTTAAACTTCGGAACGCTGAGAAAAATAACACTGTGGGGAAAATCGCAAGTTTTGAAATGACACAAAAAAAAACGACGAATAACGTGAATTAAACTTTGAGTCGTAGGTTACGAATCTGGTTTTCTGGATCAGGTAATTTTCCCAAGATATTTAAATTTTTATGAGAAAACAAATCAAATTTTAAGAGGCTAAACACTAAAAAATTAACAGATTTTTGGTAAGTTATATTCATTTGTATTAAAGTCTGTTCTTTTACAAAACATTCACAAAATGAGTAACATCTTACATGATAAAGTTCGAATATTTTATATTCACAATGCAAAATTAGAAATATCTTGTGAAAATAACCTGATCTAGAAAAACGGTGTACATATCCGTAACCTACGACTCAAAATGAAGTTTATGTGTTTCGGCGTTTTTTTCATTTTAGCGTTCCCGCAGAGTAGTAAAACCACGATATTGTCAATAATAAATGTATTTGTATGTAGGTACATATACATATGTATCGATAGCTTTTTGGGGTAATAAATCGCTAAATCAAATAAAAAGTGTGCGGAATAAATGATCTAAAAATAAATCACTTACGTTCTATCGGAATCACCTTGCACATTTTAATTACTTTCTATGAGTGCCTAAAGTAAATATTTGTGTATATTCTTCAAACCGGTGTATTTTAAAAAGTTTTTGTGGTGCCTTTTCAAATGCTTGATGTTCCAGACGAAAATAAGAAGCAGAAAGTACGAGTACCCGTGTTGTTTCCATTGCAGTTCTAACAACGCAATCGAATGCAAGGAATTCTACAGAGAGACATTTTTGTTATACATCGAATTACCGTGGGAGACTAACATATTTCATTACTAGCGTCGAAAAGTAGCAACGCAAATACGTACGATCTTCAAGTATTTTTCAATTTCCAGTTCCCCAAAAAATGGTGCTTACCAAGTTATTAATTGATTATTATATTTCGGGCTTTTCGGACTATTTCGGAATTTTCGAGAATTTTGGGATTCTCGGGACTATATCAGGATCTTTGAGACTACTTCCGGATTTTCGGGACTATTCCAGAGCTTGGCTTTATGTATCTGTCGATCTTGATATCGATATATTTATCGATTTTGAAGTCGTTATATCGATTTTGTTATCGATATATTTATCGTTATTTTTATTCATATATTATCAATATATTTATCGATATATATAATTATTATTGGCGATATATGTATCGATGTTGTAATCGATATATTTAGTGGTATATTTATCGATATATATGCATATCAGGTCTCGAAGAAATCGATATATTCCCTAGAGTCCTAAAAATCTCGAAGCAATCTTGAAATCCCGACAAAGTCCCGAGAATCACGAAGCAGTCTCGAAAATCACGAAATGGTCGCAAAAATCCCCATATAGTCTCGAGAATCCCAAAAATCCCTAAGAAGTGTCAAAAATTACGAAACATAATAATTAATTGCAAACTTGGTACGAATCATTTTTCGTAGAACTGGAAGTTGGAAAGCACTTGAAAATCGTATTTGCGTTGCATTAAAAAGTATTATTTAGTTGAAAAATCACGAATAAAATTTAATTGTCCTACAAAAAATGGATCTAATATAAACCAGTCCTCTTATAAAAATCAGTATGTAGAATTGATAAACTTGGGCAATCGCCTTAGCTTTATACCCGCTATATCGCCCAGGTCTCTTCAGGTTCCAGTATCTATGAACCTGATACTCACAAGTCATTGAATGGTATCTTGAGTCTCTCCACGCGCCTCCCTAGAGTGAGATGACCCGCCAGCAGCTCCATAGCCAAGGAAATTTCTCATATCCACAGCACAAGGAGCTCCTTCGATCTTTTCAAAGCCCCATACTGGTCATATGATTTTTGTGGTCTTGCAGGTTTCTAATTGTGTCCATTTTTCACCTGCTTAACAGAAGAATACTTGTATATTGAGCTAGCGGGCAACGAACGGCATGTCCAACCTCTTCCAGGATGGCGAATTAAGAAGGGAAGTGTCCTTACTGGCTAGCCCGTCATCTTATTTCATATTAAACGTAAATATAAAAGTTTTAAGGATATATTGTGAAAAGGGTAAATACTTAGCATGTACAAAAAATTACAATTTAATTTTCCATTGTTTGTTTATTCGTCCTGGTGAAGGTTGAAGCTGAGGCTGGCTTATTTTTGTACCAAAATTGACTTTTTATGTCATTGTTCTTAAATGTCTCCTGCATTGATGTGAGATGATGAAGACCATTTTAGAATATCGCTACAAAATATACCGTAGTGACCACAATTATAAATATGTTTGTTTGTATATCGTTGCCATGACATTTTCTCAGCCACTCAGTGGTCCTCAAATGCCAACTTAACATATATACCAGAGATGTGCATGCGGTGGGCCGCAATTATTGGACACTCAATCAATACTCCTTTTTTCATTACGCGTACAACTAAAAAGAAAGCACACATCGCACACCTAGATCTAAAGTGCTATCAACTAAAAAAAATTCTGGGCGATTTTTGCATAAATCAATTCATAGGACGGACTCCATCCAATTAACAGAATTATTTTTTCTCTTCATGATTATATACATTAACTAAGAAACTACTGTTATACCCGTTTTTGTACTAATTGCGTTGAGTCTGTACGATCCACAAGCAATTAAATTTCCCTCTCGGGATTTTGAGTTAGCTCACTTTACATCTAGGTGTGCGATATGTGTGATCTCCACAGCAAAGCGTTCAAACACCGCCATCGATAAATACGTAACAATAACAAGTAAAGAAGTATAAGTTCGGGCGAAACCGAACTTGATATACCCGGCGCAGGTATCAAATATCGTCGTTTCAACTTTCTCTAAACTACATTTGCATGATAAGCAAGGGTGTTTTTCACGATTTCATATTTTTTCGATAATATGCTGAATTAGAGGTTATGAAGTAATTGAACCAAGTTTGGTAGAAATCTATAAAATGGTTTCCGGGATACACCTTTTAGTCATAAAGTGGGCGGTGCCACGCCCTATTCCTAAAAGTCTATAGCTGTCTTTTTTATTGTTTATTAACTTGGAGTAAGTTAGCGTCCTCAGTTATTAAAATATCGGAGTCTAGGATGTCTGAAATTTACCGTTTTAAGGGGAGTGGGTGTAATTTTAGTCCGATTTGAATAATTTTCAACGCTTTTCTTCACTGTACTAATCTTATTAAGTGGACCGATTTTGGTACAAATTGATGAATAAGAGATAAGATTATCCAAAAATGTATAACAATCTAATTTTGTTCTAAGTGGTTATTGTTAAGGTTGATTTTGATTCAATTAACTGTAGTATGTATGCATGTAGTTTATATAAATTACCGTTATATCGGAGGCGGGCGTGGTTATTACCCGATTTCAAAGATTTTCAACTAATTTCTTAGCTAGGCCCTGGGCAAGGCTCGTACCGAGTTTGAGAAGGATTTATGTACCGACTACTGAGATACAGCATTTCATCATAAGTGGGCTGGGTAACGCCTATTTCCAAAAATTTCATAATAATACTATTTTCTACCAAAATTCGACTTCGCATCCTAATTTTCAACAATTTGTATCCAATATTTACTGAAATATCGTAGTTTTTGATTTTTTCGAAAATACCGTTATATGGGAAGTGGGCGTGGTTACAGTCCGATTTCGCCCATTTTCAATACCAACCTACCTTGGGTAAAGCGAAGCCTACATACGGAATTTCGTTGAGATATCTAAATTTTTTCTCAAGTTATCGTGTACACGGACGGATGGACAGACGGGCGGACAGATGGACAGACAGACATGGCTTAATGGACTTCTCTATTCATTCTGAGCATTTATGTATAAATCTATATATATCTCCATCTCGATTCGTTTTGGCTGTTACAAACAACCGTTATGTGAACAAAGTTAATATATCCTTGTGCACAAGTGCGCTCAGGTATAAACATTTTTTAAATCCAAAAACTCGATTTGAACTCGCGGCTGACGGTGTTAGAGTATAAGCTCTTCTCGCGGGGCTAGTTTCTTATTATACGAGGAGTGCGCGTTACATTTCAGCTTTCACATGCTAAATGTGAGAAAATTGTATGACAACGAAGCTCCCATGCCGCAAGTTTTAACTGTCCCACTCTGCAGCCGCTTTGCAGTAGTGCAGAGACAATTCTAAAAATGGTAAGTCGGGACTAGCGGTTACTCTGGTATTCATAAAACAGTCTCTAGTCCGGAGTAGCTCCGGAAGCTACTCGGCTTTCACATACAAGTCGTGTGTGCGCAGCTAACAAACTGTTGCGACGCTAGCAGAGAATTAGTTTGCGCCCTGCAGCAATAAGGCGGCCAATTTTTCGTAAAGGACTAGTAAATACTTCACTGGTTAAAATTTGACTGGTCAGAATTGGACATTTGCTTGCATCGGAAATGTCAGCCTTCGACTAGTCCCCAAGGAACCGGCCTAGAGATAGACGAAAAGTACAGTTTGGCAGTGACAGGGTGGTGTTGTCTTGCAATTCAATAAAATAAATTTAAAGAACACACATTTACATGCGTGGCTGTAGCTCAGTGCGCAGAGATGCTTGCCACTATTTGTTAGCTTTCAGGAGGGTTCGGGTTCAAATGCCGTCAGAAACAACATGGTTATAAAATGATAAAATTTATTTTTTTTGTGTTTCCGAATTATGAAAAAGCATCTGCGAAGTGCAGAACACAATCTTACTCCAACGAAAAAAATCTCCAAAATTAGACTAGTCCAGGACTATGTTACGGTCAGTGTTGATTGGACCGGTCATTTTCCAATGACACGCCAATTCTAAAAATGGCAGGGGAATTATGAGGGACTAGTGCTGGTAACAATAGGGACTAACTGAGGGCTAACCTAGGGTGGTCAGAATTGCTGCAGGGC